AAAAAAAAAAAAAAAAAAAAAAAAAAAAAAAAAAAAAAAAAACTCAGATAAAGCACATTTATGGGATAAAAAGAGCTGCACTGGTAGAGCCCAAGAGTCTACCAAGTCAATAGTCTGCATGCAAGCAGAAATGTTAATAAGTAAGTAGTAGTATGACATCTTGCTGAGACTGCTCAATTCATAACAAGCAGAGCTCATTACTCTGTACCTGAAAATCACTTCTGTGCTTGGGGGTTCTACCTTTGTCTTTCTGCCATCCCTTCCTTAAGGCTATGAGCTGCTTGAGGGTATCGGTTGGCTTATTTTTTACAGCAAGTTACAAATAAATGTTTGTTAAATAAATATCCATCATATCCACAAATGTTAAGAATTGCTAAGCAGAATCAATCCTGAAGAATTCTAGCATTTTCCTTCAACTAAGACAAACGCATGAGCCCGATGGTGTTGGCAGCACGGCAGAAAATACCAAATGAAGTGAGAATTAATACAGTTCACACCCTGTCACGCCTTATTTAAATCACCAACATTATACAAACATCACTGTCACCTGGCCCAATCCTCTTCCTGATGTTCTGCCCAAGGCTCCCCAGCAACTCCTACACTTTAGAGCAATTTCTTGGCACCCTACTTAGGAAGCTAACATGATTCCAAGTGAAAGCCCAGAGCTCTCACTTTAAGTTCTGTTTGTATCCTACAAGTTCTCCACATTAATGTGCTTGTTGGTTTTCTTTACCCAATGCTAAAAACCAATTTCCTCTAAACCATTCCTTCACCTCCTCTGATAGAGACCAGGCAGGTGCTTTCTTGAGTGGGCTGGTTGACTATATGACCACACCAGTGAAGCAGATGCTCTCAAATGGAAAGAAGTGTTTGTCTTTAACAACAGTAGGAATGCCAAATACCAACCAAAAACAATGCAACAACAGCCACCACCCCACTCCTCTTGGTCAGTTAGTGCGCTATGGGCAAATCCTGGACCTCTCTCGCCACTGCTTTTCCGGAGCCCACTTTCACATCCCTGTCCCTGGGAATGTGACATGTGAGTTGTCACTTTGTTTCACAAGTAAGAGTCAAGACACCTGTAAACAGCAAGGAGCCATCTTGATGTCAAATGGTACAAGATGCCTGGATTTCAGAGATAGGAGTGGTGTTCTTATTCACCTGGTCAGAGAAGCAGAAACCATTCTTCAGAGCATTGCAGGATTAATGTAAAGGGCTGGAGTCAGTCACTGGACTCTTCGGGAAAATGGTTGCTACAATAGCCAGGTCAAAAAGTTTCAGTGTGGCCTTTGTTTGGGGGCTGGGACTTTCTGGTAAGATACTGTCATATCCAAGTTAGGTTTAATAATTAATATAACTAGCAGGAGGCTGAGGCAAGAGGACCCTATGTTTAAGACCAGCTTGGGCTACACAGAAAGTTCAAGACCCGCCTAAAATATCCAGTAAGGCCCTGTCTCAAAAAAGCAATAATAATAATTACTATAGCTACAGCTTTACCTGGAACCCTGGATCTCAAAAAATAGAGAAATTTCCCATTCTTGGAGTGCATGATGGCTCTCTTGATGAACTCTACCACAGACTGACAGCGATCCTCAAACTTGGGGTGGCACCATAAGCTGAAGGTTCCTGAAATGGAAAATTAAAGAGTCAATTTACAAGCTTTTCTAGTGAGTGTGGTACGACATTCTCATTATCCCAGCACTTACATGTCTAGGGTAGGAAGATCTGAGTTAGAAGCCAGACTAGGCTATATAGCAAAACTCTAAAAATTAAAAACAAAACAAAACAAATAAAAACCTCAAATCATCTGAGAGGCTGATATGAACATTTTAATTTTGTTTTCAGTTTTTCGAGACAAGGTTTCTCTGTGTAGCTTTGCAGATCAAACTGTCCTCAAACTCACAGACATCCCCCTGCCTCTGTCCCTGCCACCCAAGTGCTGGGATTAAAGGTATATGCTACCACCACCCAGCCTAATAATTAAATTCTTAAATCATTTAAAAATAATTTTTAAGACCTCACTTTGCTGGATATGGTGGCACATACCTTGAATCCCAGCACTCGGGAGACAAAAGGCAGGAGAATCTCTGTGAGTTCAAGACCAGCCTGGTCTACAGAGTAAGTTCCAGGAAAGCCAGGGCTACATAGGGAAACCCTGTCTCAAAACAAACAAACAAAAATCTTAAGAGGCTGGAGAGATGGCTAGTGGTTAAGAGCACTGACTGCTCCTGCAGAGGACTTGGGTTCAATTCCCAGCACCCACATGACAGCTCATACCTGTCTGTAACTCCAATATCTGACACCCCCACACAGACATACATGCAAGCACACCACCAATGCAAATTTTAAAATAAAAATCTTAAAATAGAGGGCCAACAAAATGGTTCAGTGGTAAAGGTGTTTGCCACCAAAGATGACAACCTGAGTTCTAACCCTAGCTAGAACAAACATATTAGGAGGAAAGAACTGATTCCCTACGGTTCTTCTGTCTAGCATAAAAATGTGATAGCATAAACATGTGCTCACAAATGCACATACAAAATGCATAAATTAAAAAACAAAATAACTAAATTGAGAAGAAACATATAAGATTTTCTTTTCCATATGTATACTACTCCTTAAATGACACACTTCCCATATTTATATTTACAAATGCTAAGTACACTTATCGGATAATGAAGACTCACACGTACCATAAAGGATGTGAGAGGCGTGAGTGAGCTCAGCTCTAAGCCTTCAAGTGTGCACACTATTCCCTTTTCAAGTATTCATTCTTGCACAGCAGGAACAAAAAAAGTCAAATCAGTTTTTCCTTCTTGAGCTTCTAAATCCCAAGCCCAGAACACTGGCAAGTCCCTACTTCCTCCAACTCCAGAGTCCCAAAGGGAAAAGAGAATCTGAGTGCCTATGACTTAATACAAGGTTCCAAAAGAATCACCCACAAAAAGAACACAATTCATGATAACTAATCACTCCAGGGAACCAAAGACTGGAATCCCTGCAGTTACTCTTATGTCATCACCTAAAATGATGACGGCATGTCCCATCCAGAACAAGCACCAGAAACAAAGCTGCTTTCTAAAAACCCCATTTTTGTAAGAAGAAAGGACCTTTAACCAAAAAGTCACTGGAGTAGTACTTAGAAGAGCTCTCACTTCCTCACCTATTATGAACCTAAAGGTCAAGTATTCATCTACCATTCCCAAAGTCTAGTCAATTATCAGTCTAATAGTTTTAACAAAATATCTATTCTAAAATACTTTATTTCATTATTTGGTTTACCTATCATTCTGCTTTTTCAGAACAGCAGAAAAATAGGCAGTGATGGCTTCTTACCAAATCCCACTTTCAATACTTACCTAACCCATGCTTTTTTTTTTTTTCCAAGATTTATTTTTATTTGTGTATGTGTATGTTCCAAGTATGTATGGGTACCCATGAAGGCCAAAAGAAGGCATCAGATTCCCTAGAACTGGAGTTATAAACAGTTGTGGGCCACCTGGCATGGATGCTGGGAACTGAACTCTGCTACTCTGGAAGAGCAGCAAGTTTCTTGACCATTGAGCCATCTTTCCTAACCTAATTTATGGCTTTTTCTTTTTTTTGGGGGGGGGGCGTTCAAGACAGGGTTTCTTTGTGTAGCCTTAGCTGTCCTAGAACTCACTCTGTAGACCAGGCTGGCCTTGAACTCACAGAGATCCACCTGCCTCTGCCTCCCGAGTGCTGGGATTAAAGGTGTGTGCCACCATGGCCTGGCCTAGCTTTATTCTTAAAAGAATATTTAGAAGACATAATTTTACTATTTATTAAAGACAAAAACAACTTTGCATGCTAAGATGGATATGTCTACTTTGTTTTAGAAACAGGACCCCTCTGTGTAGCCCTGGCTGTCCTTGAATGCAAAGAGACCTGCCTGCATCTGCCTTAAAGGCATGCACCACCACCACCACCACCACCACCACCACCACCACCACCACCAGGCTACTATTTTTATATAAAGAATTAAATCTTGGGCTAATCATGGTGGTATATACCTTTAATTCCAACACTGGGAAGGCAGAGGCAGGTGGACCTCTGTGAGTCTGAGGCCAGTCTGGTCTATAGGACAAGGCCAGGAAAATCAAGACTACACAGAGAAACCCTGTCTTGAAAAACTTAAAAAAACAAAAGGACTAGGAAGATGCTTGGTGGTTAAAGCACTTGCCATGTAAGCATGAAGACCTGATTTTGATCTGCAGAGCCCATGTAAAGCACATGTGATGTCACATGTCCATGTTTACAGCACTCCTGGGCAGAGACAAGAAAGTTTCCAGAACCTCAGGCCAACTACACTGATGTATCCTGGTGTAGGCTGCACTAGTGAACAAGAAAGCCTGTCTTAAGGTGGAAGGCACAGACTAACATGCAAGACATTCAAGGTGTCCTCTGACCTCACAGGCACCCTGCAGTGCTCTCTCTGTCTCTCTGTCTCTCTGTCTGTCTCTGTCTCTCTCTCTCTTTATCTCCCTTTCTCTCTCACACACACACACACACACACACACCACAGACAGACAGACAGACAGACAGACAGGCTTAGAAGTTGAGAGCACTCACTACTTTTGCAGGGTTTGCCACCTAGCACTTACAACTGTGGATAATTCCAGCTCCAGGAGACCTAACACCCTCTTTTAGGTGGTGCATATACAATACACTCAGGCCCACACACATAAAACAAAAATAATGAAATAAAACTTAAAAAGGAGGTCAGGGAACTAACTCAGCAAAGGCAGGAAAAGGCAAAGCTGGGCAAGGCTTTCTTCTGGTAGCAGTGCCTCTTACCTCTATAGTGCTCCATTCTAGTGTGATGGGTGATACCCTGTGATCGAAAGCTGAGGCTCAGGATGTAACGAGGATCAGAGCTGTCTCGTACCAGGAAAGAACCATCTGGTTTCCCTTTTAGCTTCATCTCTGCATCCTCCCAATTCATAGGTCCCCAATACCAACCACACTATAAAACAGGAAACAGTAAAGCAGTTAACAGAGAAATGACAGCATCTTGGGCACGATCTATCTTATGAGGGGATTTCCCTCATTCTCCAAAATATCTGAGGAGGTAAAAGCCACTAACACTGTGCCAACCATAGCAGTGAAAACGAGGCTCCTTCCACTTTTCATCTCCCTCTCAGCACCAGAAGACTAACTCTATTTCATTACCAATGCTTCTACAAGGACAAGAAGGAACTAACTGGTCAGTTTACCTCGAAAAACCATCTTAGACTATTCCCAATATTTCTCCACACTCCTCCTCCATTACATCTAACTTTGTCCTTACCTTTCCTATGGAGTGAACAAGAGCCTACTGTCTAGCCACCGTGACTACAGAAGCACAGAAGCTCCTCTCACTCTCAAAACGGGAAGGGCAGCCCAGACACAGACCTCAGATGTGGGAGGAAAAGTGAGCTGCCAGCATCAGGCATCACATCACCCACCTTCTCCAGCTCTCGCAGGCTGGCTGCAAAGCTGCTTGAGTCGGGCCGGTAGAGGGGACACTGGAGGTGCTGAGGGGGTTGGCTGTGCAGGGATTCCGATGCTCGGATGGGAGCAATCCGGGGAAATGCATCTGCAGGGCAAGAGAATGGAGACCACTTGTTTTATCCACACTGCTCTCACCCGTGGGCAGACTTCCCTCCCCACAAAAGAAAAAAAGAGAGATGCTAACTGAAGAAGGACAAGGCATTAGAAGCTAAGCTGGAGAGGGTGGGAGCCAAAGCGGTGGGAAGGAGCTGGATGGGCTGGAACAAAAAGCTGTGTGGGCTCGTGTAAGCCGTGAAGAATGGGTGGGGCATTCGACCCCAGGAAAGCAGTAGGGAGCCGCTCACTAACCTGACTAAGGTGTCTACTTCAGGGGCTTCACCAGCCTAGAGCGAGTCCAACTTCTCCCACCTCGAAGTGAAGTGCCGGTAAAGCAGCCTTGGAAATAGTGACTCGCTTACTTGCCCAGGGAGAGTAACGATTTTGCCAGGCAAGTAGAAAAGAATGCTGATTTCATTCATTTTATTCCTTGGGTACCGGAGGCTGGCAAAGCAGGTATGGGCTACTAAATGCTTGGTACTTATTTACAAGGCTGCGGTAAATACCAAAAAGCTTAGAAAAAAACCACAGAACTCTGATAACCAGCAACATATTCAATCTCTTCACTGAACTGACATTAAGGCAGTTTCTTAAGTGATATCTACTCAGAGACTGCAAAACAGCCCCAGAAGCTGTTTTGACCAAAAATCTCCGTCTTTTATTTCTAAGAAAAATAATATTTACTTCTATAAAGAAACAGGTTAGAAAAAAAAATATATTCTGGACTCGTTTTCAACTTCTAGTCCAGCTAAGGGGCTACAGATTGAGGCTTTGTCCTAAGTTGTAATTTCCATGAACAGACTTCTCCCATCCTTCCACTGTTACAAGTCTTGCCTCTAAGCTAAGCTAACCTGGGGCGTGGGGTGGAGGAGGCGGAGGTAGGGGGAAAGACTGCAAGGAAGACCCCATCGGAGCCACAAGGACAGATGTAGGCAGCGTCCCACTGATATCATCTAGAAGAGAGAACAAAAGCAAGAGGTTCAGCAAAATGGGCACACGACAGCAAGGTGCAGGCAGAGGAGGGGAGTGTGCCAGGCTGCCCTCTGGCCTTCACCTGTCATCTTTATGCACTGGGGGCAAGTTCTCCTAACCTGCTTGGCTTTGCCTAGAAAGCAGGAGAATGAGGGTACTTCTAAAACAGCTCAGGAGCAACAGAATGAGGGCAAGGTAATTGTGAAGCTAGTCAGCACATGGACAGTAAATATTTACTGCTACATGCAGGGAAGATGCCCACCTGACTGCAGCTGTGAAAGAGGTGTGGAGAAAGGGATGGGAAGCAAGTGGGTCACGTCATCAATAGAAACCCGGAAACTAATCTGGCTCCCAGCAAAAGAACAGGTCCTTAGAACTCACCCTCCCTCTAGGGCAAGATGACAAAGGGGCAGGTCAGAGACTATACCTAGGAGGCTGAGGCTTCTTCTTGGAGGAGGAGGGGGAGTTGGAGGGTGTGGAGAGGTCAGGCCCCGCTGAGAAATGTCCACATCCACAAGCGACACTGTCTCACCTGAAGGATTCATATAGCAAGCATGTTACAGAAGCACCATGCCCAAAGCTGAGGCCAAAAGGAAGGGAAACAAAGGGCAAGCACGGGAGGCCAGAGGGCTGAGGGTCCCCAAAGCTTAGAATCTGATACTCTACAGGTTGGAATTACCCTGAAGACCAATTGGTTGAGAATCCAGTTGTTCTTGGGTTAGTGTGCTGGCTTGGAGGTTAAGAGGCTGGCTGCTCTCCAGCAGACCCAGATATGCTTCTCCACACTCACATAACCAACCTTAACTCTGGTACCAAGGGATTCAGCCCCCTTTTCTAGCCTCCATGGGCACCAAGCCCATACATAGTACACATATATATGTGGCTAAAACAACTGATACACATAAATAAGAAAAATGGGGATGGTAAAATGGCCAATAGGTAAAGAGACATGCTAACAAACCTGATCATCTGAATTCAACCCCCAAGCCCTGCATGGTGGAAGAAAAGAACTGACTTATTTTCCCCCCAGGTACAGGGCTTTTCTGTGTCGCCCTGGCTGTCCTCAAGAGCTCCGCCTGCCTCTGCCTCCCGAGTGCTGGGATTAAAGGTGTGAGCCACCACCACCCAGGCAAGAACTGACATCCATAGTAAGGCACACAATCAAGAAATAAAATGGAGGGCTGGAGAGATGGCTCAGAGGTTAAGAGCACTGGCTGCTCTTCCAGAGGTCCTGAGTTCAATTCCCAGCAACCACATGGTGGCTCACAACCATCTGTTATGAGATCTGGTGCCCTCTTCTGTTGTGCAGATATACATGGAAGCAGAATGTTCTATACATAATAAATAAAATCTTTTAAAAAAAGAAAGAAAATGGAAATAAAACAGGAATAAAATAATAAAACTTAAAATATTTATTTCTAAATCCTATCATTCCAGGGCTACAGAGATGGCTCGGGAGTTACAAGCACGGGCTGCTCTTCCAGAGGTCCAAGATTTGATTCTCAGCACTGAATAGTAGTCCACACCTGTCTGTACCTCAAGTTCCAAGGTTTCTGATGCCCTCATATAGCCTCCAAAGACACCAGACTAATAGGTGGTAGACAGACATACATATAGACAAAATATCCATACATATAAAATAAACATTTTAGAAATAAAAATCTACACAGCTTTAATCCCAGCACTGGGGAGGCAGAGGCCGGTGGATCTCCAAGTTCGAGGCCAGCCTATAATGAGTTCCCAGACAGCCAGGGCTACACAGAGAAAACCTGTCTCAAAACAAACAACAAACAAGAAATCCTATCATTCCTTTAGCACACTAGGAGAAAAGCATTAGCTTAGCTTGACAGTGAGAAAGTCATCCAATGCTGTTTCTGCCACTGACTTACCTTAAATAGGGGCTCTAACTCTGAAAAGGAACCTTCATCAAATAAAACCATGCCAGTGTCTCTGCAGATCTGCATGCCAATGTGGATTGCTATATGCCCACCACATGGACATGACAAAAGCAAGAACCAAAAAAGGTAAACTGAGGGAAGGAGATGGCTCAACTCCTACAAATTATCCTCCGGCTTCCTCCTATGTATGTTGTGATTCATACATGTGCCTATACACACAGTAAATGAGTGCTAAGGTTCAGCCAGGTGTGGTGGCACACACCTTTAATCCCAGGACTCGGGAGGCAGAGGCAGACGGATCTCTGTGAGTTTGAGGCCAGCCTGGTCTCCAGAGAGAGTGCCAGGATAGGCTCCAAAGCTACACAGAAAAACCCTGTCTCCAAAAACCAAACCAAAACAAATAAATAAATAAATAAATAAGAGTGCTAAGGCTCTGTCTTAACCTGAAACTATGAGTATCTGAGTTCCTAAGGAACAAACAAATATTAACTAGAAAACTACATAGCCAATAAGATAAGCAATTCTATGTGTGGAAACCCACCACAGTAGATGTCTATAAGATGTCACTTGTTCTAACAACTCACTGGAACCTACGCAGTTGGGAGCCCCAAAGGCTGGGAAATGTACATTCTAAATCACAATTCTTCCAATCACCTTTATAAGGGCCATAATATCCAAAGGAGTTAAAGATTGGCATTTTTTAGCCAGGCCAGTGGTAGAGCACACCTTTAATCCCAGCACTCAGGAGTCAGAGGCAGGAGGATCTCTCTGAGTTGGAAGCCAGGACTAAACAGGAGAGAGGGAGGGAGAGAGAGATTGGAGAGGAGAGGAGAGGAGAGGAGAGGAGAGGAGAGGAGAGGGGAGGAGGGAGGGAGGGAGGGAGGGAGAGAGAGATTGGCATCTAAATCTAATTAATTAGGGTTTTTTGAGGTAGGGTCTTACTATGTAGCCCTGACTGGTCTGATATCATTACACAAACCACACTAGCCTTGAACTTGAACTTGGCAATCCTTCCTCTGCCTCCCATGTGGTGGAGTTACAGGAGTAGGTAGGTTCCAACCAAAAGACTATTTTTAAAGTGCTTCTCGGTCACAACCAAGCAGGGCAGCTGGCTTCTCAGACTTGAGAGAATATGAAAAAGACCTTTTTACAGCTTATACTCAACCAGGAGCTTTACATATGACTGACAGAACAGAAGGTCTCTCTCTGAAAAGTTCTCCATATGAGATGACATGGCAGGGACCCACTACCAAGAGGACACCCAACAGTCTCCTTACTTTAGCAACTGTGCTCCCTGCTGCAAGAGGACACACTTACTTAAATTAGACACAATGAAGAACACTGACAGCTGCAAGAACTGCTAACCCCTAAAATGGTAAGACAAAAGCTCACACAATCCTCTCTGCCCTTCTCTTTAAACTAGATCAGATGCACATGGGTCATTTTTATTAGATAATCTGTGAACTTCTTTAGAAGACGGGACAGGAATTAATGACTTCAAGAAAGTCTTTTATGCATTGTAAGCCTCTATCTTTGTAATTCTTGCCTTTAATTTATATGTAATGACTCTGAACTTCGTAACTGCTAGGGCTACCCAAATTCCAAGAAGCAGTCTTTACCGCCAAGTGCCAAGCATCTAAAATCAAGGGCACACTCCACATGCCATAAAAACAGCCTCACCCCAAACCCAGGGGCATGGAATGAAGGAAATTATTGCAGACAGCCTGAAAGGTGCCTGGAGCTCCCCCAGCGATGCATCTGCCAAGTGTGTTGTTTGAGAGCTCTCAGGACACTCCCACTTTCAGTTATCAGAATAAGAGAAAGACAAGATCCTTACCTGTGAACAAGGGGCTGAAGGAGACCGGAGAAAAGGCACTTTGAGTTCTTGTCAACCTGGGTTTCCTAGGGAGTAAGAAAGTACACAGAGAATAAAGTGGAAAAACGAACACATATGCACTTAAATCACTAGAACACTGAATTCCAGATGTCCTGGAACACAAAACAACCCTTTATTACAGACATGTTGGCAACACTTCTGTAATAAAGCCTAAAATTTAAAGGAGAATGAAATAAATTAAGGCAATTCCTTAAATAGATTTGGCTACTGAATTCACCAGCCTACAAAGCAATAGCAATCCCTTTAGATTCGTCCATGCCCAGCACATTAAGAATGAAACACCTGAGTAGTAATTACAAAGTCTATTTCACAAGGAAGGAAGTTGGATGCAGAGTTGATTTTCATGTAAAAGCCAAGCAAAAGGCTTTAGGCCTGAGCAGCTAGCTACCAGCTTGGAGCAACAGCTTTCCCTCTGGGCCTGACTCTAAGAGAAGAAGGTTCCAAATAGAGTCAGGGAGCTAGGGAGCCCTGGCCTGAGAACATGAAAGGATACACTGCCATCTTCAACCATGAACACTTCTCTGCCCATGGACCTGAGAAGAGAGCCAAGGCCATGGCTAACAGGCCTTCTTAGGGTAGGGGATCTGCCTGTATCCAAGTACATCCTTCCCTCCGGGTCACACGGTTCTGCCTTGATGCTCTCCAGAAGCTACCTTAAATTACACACCAAGGCAACAATTATACCTACTTCAAGTAGCTTTTCAGCCAACAATGAGGAACCAGAGATGCCAACACAGATTTTTCCAGCCAGAATGCATTAACCTTAAAACAGTTTTCATTTATCTCAAGATGACAAAGATTTTACTGAGATGATACAATAGGCTCCATGTTTATGAAGAGTGAGGGGTTAAGATCTGATAAAGTCTAAACTCCCATCCCAGAACCGACTGACACTAGACATTATACTTATAGCTTCACAATGCCCGACTCGAGGTATTATAGCTGGCTCACCTCCTAGACATACAGTGACACAAAGGATTAAATAGAAAGTAAACTCTTTTTAACTCTGAATTGCACAACAGAGTAAGAAAGCACACAGGGAATAAAGGGGAGAAATCACTGAAACTCTGCATTCCAGATGTCCTGAAACAAAGTAAACCCTTTATTAAAGAAGAAAAAAATTAAAATGAAAAACCTATTTAAAATTATTTGTTTTCAACGGTGGTGGTGGTACACTCCTTTCATTATAGCACTTGGGAGGTAGAGTTTGAGGTCTGTGAGTTTGAGATCAGTCTGGTCTACAAATAGAGTTCCAGGACAGCCAAAAAAGAAAAAGAGAATCAAACAAAACGTGTATGTGTTTTCAGGGCTCAAGGTATAGTCTAGCTGGTACACACCTGCTTATCATGCACAACGCCCCAAATTCAACCACAGCACCACCCCTCAAACAAAAGCATGTTTGTGTTTGTCTGCCACATGTATATGGGTGGCCTTTGAGGACAGAAGAGGATATGGAACCCCTGGAACTGGAGTTTTAGGCTCCTGTAAGCTACTCTGGATGCTGGGAACTGAGCTTGGTGCTTTGGAAGAGCAGTAAGTGCTCTTAACCCTTAAGTCATCTCTCCAATCTCAAAACAAAAACAACAACAAAAAAACATGTTTATGCTTCTCTTTTTTTGTTTTGTTTTGTTTTGCTTGAAACACAATCTCATGTAGCCCAGGCTAGATTCTAACTCTCCAAGTAGGTGAGGATGAGCTTGAAATTAGGACTCCTCTGCCTCTTAAGTGCTGGGACAACAGGTACATGCCAGTATGCTCAACTTTGCATTTTTGTTTTAACTTTTTAGATTTCTATTTCATTTTAATTATGTATATGTGTGCCTGTGTGTTTGTACATGTAAGTACAGGTGCCATGGGATGCTGCAGGTGTCAAGTCCCCTGGAGCTGAAGTTACAGGCAGTTGAGATCTGACTGACATGGGAGCTGGGAAATAAACTCAAGTCCTCTGCAAGAGTAGCATGTGCTCTTAATTGCTGAGCCTTCTTTCCCACTCCTGCTTTTAAGTTTTTTGTTTTATTTATTTTGTGGTTTTTCCAGACAGGCTGTCTTGGAACTTGCTCTGTAAACCAGGCTGGCCTCAAACTCAGAGATCTGCCTGCCTCTGCCTCCCGAGTGATGGGATTAAAGGCGTGCGCCACCACTACCTGGCTCTGCTTTCATGTTTTAATATAGATGCCTGGGCTTTTCAAAACTCAAACAGAATTTCAAAACCAGACTATGAAGACTTTCATCAGAAAGAGCTGAGAACTGGATGTGGTGCTGCATACTTAATAGTCCCAGCACTTGGGAAGCAGAACAGTCACAAACAAGACCATAACTTAAAAAAAAAAAAAAAAAAAAGCAAAACAGTCACAAACAAGACCATAACTTAAAAAAAAAAAAAAAAAAAACAAAGCACACACCTTTAGCACACCCTTCCCAACACTTGTGAGTCAGAGGCAGGTCTCTGTGAGTTCAAGCTAGCCTGCTCTAAAGTGAGTTCCAGGGCCATCCAGGGCTACATATACCCTGTCTCAAAGAAAGAGATGAAATTCAGGCAGCTTCTTTCTAAGAGATCTAATAATCCATACTTGAACACATCCACAGCCCACACAGAGGACATGGCCACATAAAAACAAGATACAACCACACATGGCTTCTGTTTATAAAAGTTGCTTGTGACTACAGCTTGGTGCCAGCAACCCAAAGGACTAGAATGGAAAGTTCATTCCACTGGACATGAACCTAAAGCAGCTGAGGAGCTTCCAAACTGACTTTTATTTGATAACTTGTGGATACAACATTAAACTCAGCAAGTAGAAACCCAAAGCACTGGCCTTTCAAAAGGTTCACACCTCAGCCATTTGGCAGTCTGCCTCTTTTCAGAGGAAGCTGCATCCCTCTACCATCTGCCCATGCTGGGGACGAGTCTCTTTAGTGCCAAGCTCTCAAGAACGGCAGTGCCCAAAAGCACGCATCTTACGGAGGCCTTCTCACTTCAGCTCATCTTCTCCCCCACCCCGACATTTTGAATGAGAAAAATCATAGTTTCTCTAGATCTAGAAAAAGAAAAACATCTGAATTTAAACCCAGGCAGAGCCATTTGAGAGGGCTAGATGGTTTTCCCTGGCAAAGAAGGATGCTTTGTGGCTTGAAGCTAAAAGGTAAAAGGTCTAAGAGGCTGACAGGGGCTGGAGGGATGGCTCAGAGGTTAAGAGCACAGGCTGCTCTTCCAGAGGTTCCGAGTTCAATTCCCAGCAACCACATGGTGGCTCACAACCATCCGTTATGAGATCTGGTTCCCTATTCTTGTGTGCAGATATACATGGGAGCAGAATGGTGTATACATAATAAATAAATAAATAAATAAATAAATAAAATCTAAAAAAAAAAAAAAAGAGGCTGACAGGCTAATAATATGTGTGCTTCCTTCTCACTTAGGGACGATGCTGCCTAATAAAAACCCATTTTCTATCTCCAGGACCTTGTGAGCATTCTGATGGCAGTCTAATGAAAAGGCCAATCTAGAAGACTAAAAAACAAAGCCAAGAAAGACTTTAACACAAAACTGAGGATGGCAGTTAAACTGGGCTGGGGTAGGGCAGTGGGGGAGGTGGGGACACAACAGACACAGTGAGAGCAACACTTAAGTCTGCATAAAGTATGGCTAATACTATACCTATTTGCTAAGTTTAATGAGTACCTCGGTATGTATTTATTCTTTAGTACATCTCCTTTTATATATAGTAAATTTAGGATGATAAAGGCCCATTTCTAAGATGATAAGATCATTTTTTGGAAAGCAACAAGAATAATACCAGATGAATTTTTTCTTTTTGAAACATGTTGGCCCTGAATCTGATATATGGATGAGGATGACCCTGAACTTCTGACCCTCTGCTTCCATCTCCTCAATGCTGGCGTTACAAGCATGTACAACCATACGCTGTTTATGAGGTACAACATGGCCGGTTTATGCAGTGCTGGGGACTGAACTCAAAACTTCATTCATTAAAGGCAAGTACTCTACCAGCTAAGCTACACACATTCCAGGCCTCCAAATTAACATAGTTTGCAGTGCTGGGAATCCAACCCAGGGCTTTGAACAAACTAGACAAGCATTCCATCAATTGAGCTACATCCCCAGCCCAAATAAACATTTCAGATTAACCCTCCATACTACATTCATGGGTTATTCATGCCTCCACATATCACCTTGATAAACATTGAGGTACAAAATTAAAGGACTTTTAACTTTGCCAGAGGAACACTTGCATCTTAGAACAGACTCATTGGAGAATGATTTGGTTGGCCATGACTCAAGTGACAGGACATATGGCTTTAGGCAAGTCTTTTGGGGGGTTGGCTCTCCTTTGAGTCAGGTATGTCATTGCCTGAGTCGTAGGTAAGAGAACATCTCTGTCCATTTCTATTCTGAAAATAATCATCAGTACTCCAACAAATTAATGAGATAAAAGGAATTAGAAGCGCTAGACTAAACAGGACAATAGCACAAAGATGTAATCATTGGCCAATTTTCAAATTCCTAGGAACCTAAAATCAAACAATGAATCATGTCTACCACTCCTGTCCATAAATCCCTTTATCCCTAAAACTTACAAGTACCTTTTCCTAAAGCACCTTCCAAACTAAGACGCCCAAATACTAGATTGTGTAGCTCCAATACACCTCTGCCTCAGCTAATGCACTCAGTGCCAAGACAGGCAGCCTGTGCCATTTCCAACACATCATAAGCCAGTGTATCTGTTCATGTTCTACAGGCACAAAAACCATGTGTTCATTTTTAGTTCCAATACACAGACATCTGTGCAGCAAGGTCAGATCCAAAACTCTATCGTAAACCAACTAAAAAAACCGATGGAGGGAACTTCTAGGGATTAGCCAAGGGGTGTAGTCTAACACCTAAAACCTCAGGAATAATGTTGGCAAGGTGAATATAAAAGGCACAAGACTCAAGTGGACAGAAAAAAAAATTAAAGCCGGAGAGCTTATTCTGACAGAGCTGACAACCACAAGCAGTTTGTAAAAAGTTTAAAAGGCCAACAGAGCATAAAACAAAAACCCAACAAAGCTCACCACACACTAGCTAGCACCTTGCTCTCAGCATCTCATGTTATGACTTGAAAAAGCCCCTTTGAGCTTGGCTGTTATGGTAACACATGGCTGTGATTCCAGCACAAAGGAGATAGAAGCAGGAGGATTGGGTCAAGACCAGCCTTGAGTATATACATAGTAAGTTTGACGCCATCCTAGGCTATATGAGACCAGGTACACATCTTTTATCCCAGAATTCAGAAAGCTGAGGCAGGAAGATCAGCTTAAATTGGAAGCCAGGCCGGACTACATACATGGTGAGTTCAAGACCAGTTCAGACTGCATTGTGAGGCTATCTCAAAAAAAGAGCAGGGGACAGGTGAATCAACTGTTACTTGCGATTCGATTCTTCTGGAGGACCTGGAAGAGGTCTGGTTCCCAGCACCCAACGTGGGCAGCTTACAACTGCCCGTAACACCAGATATATCAGATATATGAGATCCAATGTCCTCTTCTGACCTTATCAGACACCTACATATGTGCACATACATACAGACACACACATTAACAAAAAATCTTGTTTAATAAAGCCAAAAGTAAGAATAAAGAAACAAAACAAAATCAGCAAAAAACACCCCTTCCCCTGGATCTCAAGATGCAAAGTAACGGTAAGTTTTTGATGTTGGCCAAATCTACCCATGACAGCAGGGCCCTAAATGCATGCCAAATAAACCTCTCCATCCAGAATTGCACCTTTTTCTCCAAACAAATCAAAAATCACTATAGAACTGCTCTCCATTCTCCACTACACAACCATAAAGACTGCAAGGAGCAGCCTCAACTGTTAACCTCAGTAAAGAATCTTGAGAACAAGGTACCTATTTCCCAACTGAGTGTGTTACTATGTGATATTCAAACAGGGCAGATAGATGTTATTTTTCACCAAATCTGAAGAAAGACAATCAGTTCAACATATGTGAAACAGACAAGGGAACTCCACTGCTTTTCTTGAAATAGCAAAATTCTATATTATACCAAGGCCCACAGGCATGAAGCCCAGCTCTCTGAATTCTGACATATGTGTGGTATAAGGCCTAGCCCAGCTCCTCTGAACAGAAACCTGATTAGCTGACAGGCTCAATCTTACTTCACTTTAAAGAATTCTCAAAGCTAACCCCTTACTATTTATTATTATTTTATTTAATTGAAAAAAAATTTTGAGACAGGGTCTTCCTATGTAGCTCTGGCTGGCCTGTGACTGTTACATAAACGAGGCTGCCCTCAAACTCAGAGATCTGCTCACCTCTGCCTTCTGGGTGATGGGATAAAAGTGTGTGCCACCAGGCCCAGCTCCATTTATTTACTTTCTGAGAGGGTGGGAGTGGATGCATGTGTGCCACAGCAGGCATGTGGAAGTCAGAGGACAACTTTAGAGAGTCAGTTCTCTCCTTCAACCGTGTGAATCCCAAAGAAAGGCTCAAAATCAAGTCATCAGGCTTGGGAACAAACACCTTTACCTGCTGAGCTATTTTGCTGACCCTCATACTCCTCTTTTACGGATAGTTTTTTCATGTGTGTGCATGTACCTGTACATGCAGGCATGTGCACATGTGCCTGCTAAGATCAAAAGAGGACACTGGATCTGCTGCAGCTGGAGTTACAGGTGCAAAGTTACAGCTACACAATCCAGGTGCATGGGAACCAAACGCAGTCTTTTACAAGATCAGCAAGTGCTCTCAACCTCTAAGCCATCATCTCTCCAGTTCCCCTTATACTACTCTACTCTTAAGACTCAGTATATCGCCAGGCGCTGGTGGCTCACACCTTTAATCCCAGCACTCCGGAGGCAGAGGCAGGCGGATCTCGGTGAGTTCGAGGCCAGCCTGGTCTACAGAGTGAGTGCCAGGATAGGCTCTAAAGCCACACAGAGAAACCCTGTCTCAAACAACAACAACAACAAAAAAAAAAAAAAAAAAAAAAAAAAAAAAAAAAAGAAAAAGAAAAAAAGACTCGGTATATCTGGGCAGGGCCACTTACACAAATACATAAAAAGAAGTCAAGTTGTTCACCAACAGGACAACTGCTAAGCCTTAAAAAATGGTTGTTAGGAAATACTTTCTCATGATAGCAATAGCTGTGGGAAACATGTAGATGGCAAAGGTAGATGTTGAGAAGAGTAAAGAGAATTATGCCTAGAGGTTACCATAAGTGCCCCAAATTACACAGCAAAGACAGCAGAGGCCCATAATTAACTTCAGCCCACAATGATGTGGGAGCCTCATAACTCTGGCAAAGGAAGGAAATTTCTCAGTGCTTCAGGTACTATCATTTAAAATAAGAGTGAAAACTCCAAGCTACTGTTCTTCCCAACAAGGGAGGACTTGCTTAGGAGACACAGAGCCACAGAAATCACAACTATCCTGGCCAGACTTACCAAGGTTCTCACAGCTCGAGGCTGCCAGCACGACTGGCACATAATAAGCATGGGAAAGCTAGCAAGCAGCACCAACACTTAGCACAGGAAAAAAAATGTACCAATTCAATCTTACTACCTCTCTTCCAAAAAGCACAAAATATTCCATCCAGTTTTCTCATCTTCCTTCTATTCCTATAAGGACATGAACAAGACATTCACAGCTGTCCCATTTCACAGACAGAAACGGGAAGGATAAAAATGACAAATCTGCTCTCCATCTCACAGCTAATGCTCAAGTTCCAAATGGAATCCAGACTTCCCTAATTCTCTATATAACATGCTGCCTCCAAATAGCAGTCAACCAAATGTTTACACACAAATACCTAGCTCTTCTCCAATTCATCAGAAAAAGCTCTTGGACCAAAAAATTTCTTTCTCCAGTGCCCTGAACTAAGCTGCTTTGCAGAGGTACAGCCTAATTTGCACTGCAGCAGAAATCCGTATTGTGCTTAGTGTGAGGGTTGGTGATAGAGCAGCCAATGACCATTAAATTCTGCTTCCAAAGGCAAAAAACCGTACAACGTTATATGCCTTTTCCACTTCCTAATCTATTAGACTTAGCAGCTAATTTCACGCCACACCTCATGCTCAGTGTCTCGGGAATCTTAGACCAAGTCCTGGTCAATGTGGAACAAAGACAAGACAAACCACAAGAAAATTATCAGTCCATCCTATGTCATTATCCACACCTTCAATCCTGCCGTCCACCCTCAGCTGATGCAAATTCCATCCATATTAGTAAGTGTAGCATCAAATATAGAACCTATCAGAGGGGTGGGGGGGATACGACGATATGGGATGACTGTTCCAGCAGCCACTTTTCAAGATCTGAGTTCTCAGCAAGAGTTCACAGGGAAAAAAAAAAAAAAAAAAAGACGGGCCCTTTCTAAAGGGACAATACACTGGGGAAAACAACCAGGGATTTGGGTTTGGTCCATGGCACATCTATTTAGAAATGGCAACACAGCCTAATGGAACAACGCCTTTTATCTTGGAGTATTAAAGTTCTCTTCAGAAATCCACATCCAAGAACCAGTGGTTTGCATCCAGGATCAACTGGGGAGCACTAAAAAATTCAAATAGTAGGGGCTGGAGAGATGGCTCAGCAGTTAAAAGCACTGGTTGCTCTTCCAAAGACTCAGGTTCAATTCCCAGCACTCACGTGGCAGCTCACAACTGCCTGTACAGTTCCAGGGGAATCAGACACCTTCACACAGACATGCATGCAGGAAAAACACCAGTGAACACAAAATAAAAATAAATTATAAAAAATTTCAAATTGGGCCCCAGATATATTTATTTTTCACCCCATCCCCAAGAGATTCTAATGTTCAGCAAAGTTATCAATTTATCTGCTTTTTGGCTTTGCTTTGTCACTGTCAGTATATTTCAAGAATACATCATATAAACCACACCAAGACTAATTCCAGCCAGGCATGGTGGCAACAGGCCTATAATCCTGGCACTGGGGAGGCTGACTCAGGACTCAGGAAGATGTGATAGGAAGATCAAAAGACTTAGACCAATCTAGGCTATATAGTGGATTCAAAGCAAGCCTGATCAGCATAATAAAACCTCGTCTCAAAACAAAACAAAAGCCACCAATTCAAGTCTAAGAGTCAGAACTACAATCCACAATCACAGTTATTCCACAAGGTATGTCTCATTAGTGGATGCAACAGCTGACAGCTTTCTAAAGACTACAGAACTATGTATGCCCTTATGTCAAAAGTCCATCCACTTTTTAGAAATTCAGGGGGAAAAACTCAACGTCCAAGTTTGGAATTGTCATTAATTGGCCTAGAATTCAATGTGTATAATACCTCACTGAGAACTCTCAACATCTGTGTGAAAACGAGAGAGCAAGTATAAATCTATTCTCAGAATGTGGTCAGCACACACGACTTAGTAAATACCTAAGAACAACCAGAAGAATATTAAGAATAGAGATGCCCAGCTGATTGCTGGCCAAATTCCCCAGACCATTTTGAATGCATATACGTGTGCAGAGAGTGGGGGCAGGTGCACAGAGAGAATGAGCAAGATGGTCAAGATAATAGACAGGTGATTGACACTAGCTTTTTGGCCCCAAGGCCACACACTTTCAGCAAGCACCCAGCAGTGTTAGATATGGTAGACAGATACCGGGGGAGGGATGGGAAGCTTAAAAAGTGGGGCCAGTACAGGGATGGTGAGGCAGGACTTCAGATCAATCCAAGCAAGAGACGCTAACCCACTAAGAAGTGTCACCGAGCGTGAACTCTCCAAGAGTGAAAGCTGTTTCCACAATTAGCTCTGATCTAATGCGAGATGTCACCACCTTTAGTCCCAAGTGTCTGCCTTCTCCAGAGGTCCACAGCTTGAGAACTGACAGTATTGTGTTAGCAGTAGGGGAAATGAGAGAAACGAAACAAGAAATGGAAGTTTGTCGCCTGCCCCCCAGCCATTCTCACCTCCCCGCATCCAGCTCCCGGCCCGCAGAGCCTCCCATGTCCGTCAGGCTCGCAGCTGAAGCTGCCAGATCTCCAGAAGGCCTCTTGCCGGTCCCCTCCCCCCCGCCCGAGCCGCCGTTGCAGCTCTTCGTGCGAAACAGGCGACTGAGACGGATTTTGAAGGAGCCCTTCCGAGAAGGGCCCGCGAGGGGCCGGAGGGGCCCGGGAGGCGGCGGCGGTGGGGGAGGCTGCTGAGGCTGATACTCCCCTCGGCTCAGGCGCCCTGGAGGGACCAAGTCCTGCAGCGGGAAGGGCACCGGGGGTAGTTCGGGGCCCGGGGGCTGCAACAGAAGCCGGCCACCCCCTCCTCCTCCACGGCCCGGGCTGCTGAGCTCCTCTTCCGAACAGCTGTTAGTCTCCAGGCTCTCGGCCTCCGATTCCAAGCCTTCT